TTCCATTTTTTTATGGTACCGAAAAGGAGCTGTATATGTAAGTGTTGGTTGATGTTTGAAGATTTCTGAATTTTCGTTTGTGATATTGTCTTGTCCTGTTTTTTGTTGTTGTATATAATAGAATATATTTATAGCTAGTGTATGGTGTTGGGCTTTATGAACAATCAAAGTCTTTCAATTTTTAGTTTGATCTCTTAACTCCTTCAGTATCTTAGTAACTGATCCAGGTTTTCTACAGTATTGATGTTTAATGAAACGGGCTGATCTTCTTTGCACCATTCCTATCTTTTATATGTGATTTTCCTGGTATCGATCCCAAGCACTACCCGCGTATTCAGCATTTGGTCTGACAAAAGCCTGGTTTGCTCTTTTTGCAATTGCTTACGGGAATTTATTGATATTTCGTCCCAGGCAGCCTAATGATTTATTAGCTATATTCACGATTTTATTGACCAGTAGTGTTTTTCTTTCAGGTATTTCACAAATTGCTATTTTGGGGTCTTGCATGGCTTATTTAACAGTATGGGCATTGTTAAAAGCCGTGAGGTGACCTGTAGTTGTAATATCAGTTTCCTTTGGTCTTGTATGGATAGTTATCTGATTGGCAGCTTTTGCCTGGCAGTAGAATTGTACTGAAATGTTATAAACATTACAGCTGTACAATAAAATGAATACAAAATACAATCTACTGACGGTCGCAACGATGTTTTAAGTCACCAAATTTTTAAGATGATCTATGGAGTTTTATCCTTTAATTCCAATATTTTAATAATGAACAACAAAGCGTTTTAATTTTTACGATGATGTTGCATGTAAAGCCTGCAATTTTAGAGATGATCAATTTTAACTTATTTATCCTTTGAATAAAGCTATTCTGAAAGGTTACCAATTCAATACTGTAAGATCTTTGATTATTGCATTCATCGGTTCAAAGAACAATTCGGTTAAGCCTGCCTTTTGAGAGGTAAACCATACATTTAGCATCAAATCAATCTTTGTTTACATCCTAATGAAAGGTAGCAAGAGTTGTAGATATCGAATACAATCATTGGATAGACAGGAAACAATAGAATACATTAAACACAAGCTTGGTCCGTTTGTTTCTAGATTTATAATTCATTGTTTAACTAGCCAACTAAAACATATTTTTTTGGTCGAAGGATACACTGAAGCAGTTAAGTTATAATTTCACATATTCTTTGTTTTCGATCTGCCATAACTCTTCATGTGGAAATGTATGTCTCTTTAAACACCCATATCATGATATACAACAAATAAAAGGAGACTATTCTACCTTTTTGAAAGAAAACAAGAGTGCACACACTGAAATGTCTCGCCTTCTTTACTAATCATTGATATTATGTTGATAGTCCTAAATATAAAGCTTTATTACAACTGTCACATAAACTTAACATTAACCAAGTAAACTAAACATTGACCAATGAACCATGAAAATGAGGTCAAGGTCAGATGAACCATGCTAGGCAGGCATGTACAGCTAACAATTCTTACATACAACAAATATAGTTGACCTATTGCTTAAAGTTTAAGAAAAACAGACCAAAACACAAAAACTTAACACTAAGCAATGAACCTTGAAAATGAGGTCAAGGTCAAATAAAACCTGCGTGACTGACATATAGATCATAAAATATTTCCATACACCAAATATAGTTGAACTATTGCATATAGTATTAGAAAAAAAGACCAAAACTCAAAAACTCTACTTTGACCACTGAACCATGAAAATGAGGTCAAGGTCAGATGACACCTGCCAGTTGGACATGTACACCTTACAGTCCTTCCATACACCGAATATACTAGACCTATTGCTTACAGTATCTGAGATATGGACTTGACCACCAAAACTTAACCTTGTTCACTGATCCATGAAATGAGGTCGAGGTCAAGTGAAAACTGTCTGACGGGCATGAGGACCTTGTAAGGTACACACATACCAAATATAGTTATCTTATTACTTATAATAAGAGAGAATTTAACATTACAAAAATCTTAACTTTTATTTCAAGTAGTCACTGAACCATGAAAATGAGGTCAAGGACATTGGACATGATACTGATGGAAACTTTGTAACATGAGGCATCCATATACAAAGTATGAAGCATCCATATACAAAGTATGAAGCATCCAGATCTTCCACCTTCTAAAATAGAAAGCTTTTAAGAAGTTAGCTAACGCCGCCGCCGCCGCCGCCGGATCACTATCCCTATGTCGCAGGCTCGACAAAAATGTAATACAAATACCAAGGCGCGACAGTCAAATAAAATAGCAAAAATAATGAATAAGATTCATGTTGGTATGACATCCACTTTCCGGCACACCATCTCAAGTTAAATGTTAACTGTTGACCTCAATTTACTCTGAAACTAAATGGTAATTATTCAAAAAAGAAAATAAGGTCATACCATTCTTTTGACGAACATTGTGAATAGTTTAACTACAACTTTGATCAAGTAACTAATACTGCTTTTCAATGTTTTGAATGTACTTTCCATCAAACTACCCTAAAACAATAATTTCACAAGGTCAGGAAGAAGCTGACAGACAAATGTACGGACTTACATGCATTAAATGAAAACTATACCCCCTTTTCGCAAGCAGGGCAAGAAAGCACTAATTAAACAGAATAATTTTTTTCACCAATAGTTGAGATACGAGAAATGCTTTTATGGTAAGTCTGCTAGCAATTGCGAAAAAATAAATATTTATGATTCATGCCGAAGTATGGTACGGTTCCATGCTTTAACATTATGTTAGCTTCAATAAATGTTCACAAAGTAAACTATTTTCAACTATTTAACGCCTCTGTAGCACGTGATTGATTACAAAAACGTTCTTGTATTAGAAAATAATTTTACTTTTCAAGATCTATAGTAAATAATTCTAGACACAAACCCTCAAATCATATTTCATTCCTATCCATTCCGACATCGATCTCAATCATGCGTTGTAAATATAGTCAACATTGATGAGATCTGCTCGTTTAAACCCAATCAGTCAATTAATTGTTCAACAACACCAAATTATTAATGATCTTATAATTCCCAAATTCTTACATTTTGTACTCGAAAATCAATGAACACTCTAATTAACGCGAGATATATCGTAAATTTTCGCCGCGTATGCCCCTTATGACATTGATCAAAATGGCACATTTGGAAGAATTTTACAGACGATTAAATGAGAGATGAGCTGAGTTAGACAAATATTGTTGTAATGATGATTACTATGTGTATTGAAGTTAAATGATTTGATTAAACCAACTGATGAGAACATTTACACATTAGTGAATGATTAGTGTTTTCAGGGATGTCATTTTAAAATATTGATCACGTTTCAAGATATTTTGGAGATTGGTAGTCATTTTGGTTTGACATAAACGACCACGAAGAGGATAAGCTATCATTCAAAACATCTGATTTACTCGTATTTAGTTTGAACAGACTTTATCGCCGTCTGCAGCATTAAGTAGGGGTTAATTTAACCGTACTGGTAGCATTTAAAATTTAATTACAGCAAGAGTTGGTTTTAGAGTTAAAGCAGCATTTGTTTATGTCTTTATGAATTCAAATTCCAAAAGATAAACCCGTTAAGTATAAGAGTTAATGCAACTATAATGTTAATCAAACATCACAAATTTGAAGCCAATGATGTATCAATGATTCAATACATGGGGAGCTATACGACCAAAAGGGACATAAAAAGAATAGCCACATCCGCTTATGGTGAACTTTGTCTGAGGGTGTTGGAACCTTCATTTTAAAATTTATTTTATTATATTTTTTAGATAATTTAAGAACAGTATGTTATGGACTAGCAGTCCACCAGCAGTGGTATCCACCAAGTGCTATACATCTGGTAAATGTTTCATCAGCATGTTCGAATATTCATTAGAGGCATTCCCGTAACAGTGTGGACAACCGTAGTACTTTTGTTGTTAATACTACTGAATCATTTACCTTTAACTTGTTTGCCGTCGGCTATCGATAACAATGAGTTTACGCTCACGCAGTCTGACAGAGACCCTTCAGTGGGGATTTAGATAAACACTTGTTACACATTTCGATACATAAAATGAAATTGTTGATCAAAACATAAAAAAAACGAAAGTAAAGAACGTTTAAGTATTCAATATTAATCAAAACACATAGGTTATTCCTGTACTAGTTTTTCGAATTATTTGAGTCAGGCGTTGAGAACCTTTGGTGACCCCACAGTTTAAATGTCTATAATAAATACGACGTGATAAGTGGGCGTTACAGACGAACGTTCACGTAATTTAACTCAGTCAATGGGAGACTTGAGCGCGCCAACAAATGGTTTCGTCCACACTGTTATGAAAACAATACTATATATTATACCAAGTTACAGACGTAGTTGAATGCGACACATTGTTAACTTTGATCATTGGTCTATACCATGAGAGTTGTGCGTGGATAAGAACCAGGATGTGTCTAATTCCCCGGTTTACCTCATGATCATGTGACCGCATATGAGGTAAATCATCTATTAAATGGACGACTGTATTGACGAATCTTTATTAGCTTTCGTGTTTGTGATAAACGGTTAATTCAACCCTCTGTGTGTTGATTTTCTTTTGTTAATTAATTATTTTCATATTGACAGTTTTATATTTTAACTTGATGTTAAAAAGGAAGTATTTGCAATTATATTTTTATGGAGCAGAAACTTTCACGGCGGGTGCCACATGTGGAGCAGGATCTGCTTACCCTTCTGGAGCACCTCCGATCACAACAACTTTATGGTGGGGTTCTATAGTTGCTCAGTCTTTAGTTTTTTATGTTGTGTTTTGTATACTGTGGTTTGTCTTTCAGTCTGTTTTCGTTGTTTGCAATGGTGTTGTCAGTTCGTTTTCGACTTTCGACTTGTGAGTTTGAATATCCCTTTGGCACTTTCCACATCTCTTAATTAAAGGCAATGCGTAAACACATGTTTTAATTACATTGAAACGATACAGCAAAAGTATGTTAACATCTATTTTCATGATATAAACAATAAAACAAACATACATAAATGTATAATAAAAATAAAACATGTCTTTAGGAAATATTAAATAATAGCTGCCATTTATTGTTCACTTGGGTTCAGCTATTGAGGCAACACATTTTCTGTATATATGCATGTATGTATAAAAGATATGAATTAATTGTCAATTAGACAACTATTTATATTTTATAAATACAAATCGCATAACGATATATACTAGGCAACCATGGACAAAGAACCATATCGTTGAAAAGGTTATACATTTTACGATCATAGAAACAATAATTAATTATGCATATATAAATTGCAAAACAGACAACCTATGGTATATTTGCATCATTCACATTAAACGATACATAAAAATGAAACGAATATATAGTTCCTAAGCTTTTTGGGGGGGTAAAATCGCTGTAGATATTGCAAGTATCCAACTTATTGATAAAGCTACGTTGATAATCGTTCGGTCATGGTCTTAACTCACCAGAGACATATTTTCACGGTCTAAGAACTTAAAATAGCAGAATAATCGTCTTATCTGTAAGGTAACATATTTTGCCCTTTTGCCTTTTCTATTCCTTGACATTAATTGTTGGATCTGATATCAATTATATAGGAATAACATGGGCAATAATATGAATATCATACAACAAGTATGACTATGATCTATAAAAAGTATCCTACTTTATAAATACTGTCCAATTGTTTTTACCAAATTCGAATTCTTATGGCGCAAGCATAGCAGGAGACTCTTACCTTACCTTCAATTTGGCCGATTTTCTCAGGTTTTTTTTCTCTTATATTGTGTATTCGAAATTGATCATGTTCTCGTCCCCTACATGGATTTCATTTGCAACCGATTGTTAAACAGCCAATCGTCTATAAGTTAACCGATTGTGTCCTCATCCTATTCTTTGGCATTCGCGACACCTCATTAAATAACAATTGCAATACTTTTTTCCCCTCAGAATTACAAATACACAAACCATACTATTGATAAAAGAAAACACTTAAAAATAGAATGAACAATTATGTATACAATCTTTGATCTCAATTTTCAACTGCAATACTCATTATTTAAAAAAATCACATTGTTTTTTTGTATGTTGTTCAATTCTAGACGTTTCAAATTATTCGATTTTATTTAGTACCATTTGTAGTTTTGTTTCTTTTATTCATTTCATTGATGTTGGTCTGTCATGATAAATTAATTCAGTAATTTAATGGTTGCCAAAAAGGAAAAAAAATCTACTTTATAAACAATAAAGAAGCGGATAGCTGATGATCCGATATTTGACACTTGATATCAAAAATAGTAAATGTCTTCACAATTATATAACTTTGTTTATTAATTCACAGAATGAATTAGTCTTGCAACTTTGGTGCAGACATTTCATATATGATATCACTATGATGTGTTTACCATGTCAAAATCGACATATTTGACATACCATTTGACAGAGTTTTTTTGTGTTGATAAAATGAAATCTGACCAACAACCTTACAAAACATATTTTACCCCTTTTTATATTTCTTTGTATGACCTCTTGCTGCCAATTTTTTAAAAAAGTAATATTTATTTTGGCACTTTTTGTAATTTTTCGTTACATGCAAACAATTTTAGCACCTCGACCTTACATGTTAGACGAATTCAAAATATGAATATTGATTACTTATCCTTAACTCATTATATACGACATATCCAAGTCTTAAACTACTGGACAATTCGACAAAGATACAATTCTAAATCTCCTACCAACATAATAATATTGTTTTTCTAACTTTTTGTAAATTTTCGTTACATGCAAACAATTTTAGCACTTCGACCTGACATGTTAGACGAATTCAAAATATGAATATTGATTACTTATCCTTAACTCATCATATACGACATATCCAAGTCTTAGACTACTAGACAATTTGACAAAGATACAATTTTAAATCTTCTACCAACATGATAATATTGTTTTTCTCGATTATAAAAATATAAATAGAATGATACATTTATAAGAAATGCATCATTTCCTACATGTTGTTTAATTCTAATTGCATCAATTCATTGTCAATTTCATTCAATTCAATCTGCAGTTTGAGCTTTCGCCTTTGCAGCTCCTTCTTTGTCGGTGAAATTCCACTGAAAAATTAAAACAATAACTCAAAGATAATTTGACGAGTCGTGTGCATCTGAATTCCTTCATTTTCTGGTACAAACCTACTGCGAAGTTACATATTTTGTGTTTTGTCTTGTCATGTCTCAATGTCTCTGATCATCTGTCAAAATTGTTTTATGCGTAGGATTATTTAAGTCAATTTAAACCTAACGGTCAAATCAGTGAAAATAAATCTCTCGCGAAAATATCCCACATTACAGTAATATAAATATTGCATTTGGATTATAATATTTCGAGTCAAGTACGTATGATAATATTTCCATGTGCACAACAGTTGAAAAACTGTCATTGTCCAGGATAGTAATTGAAACAAGATTATGACAGGTTATGTACACAAAAAACTTTATTTTACATACACGAAATGTACTTAATATTAAGGTTGGACGATAATATATTTATTTAACTGAAGTACCCACACAATTGTCCTGAATGAATCAATGTATACACAGATGCCGTAATTAATGGTAACAATGCCTATTTGAAATTACTCATAGAAACATAGCTTTTACTTTTCACATCCAGAAAACCTCTTTGAAAACAGCAAATTTATAAAGTGTAGTTTTCATTTTTTGACATTTCTCCAATATAAGGTTGTTTGTATTTTTCAAACTGTTAGAAAATTTAAGAGAAAAAGAAACGAAAATTTTCTTTTCACAAAACGAATCAATGACGCACATAATTTGGCAGTAATAACTTAAGATGTTTTTCATTGTAAGATTCAACATTTCTCAAACTTACTTATGACAATTTATAGGAAAGCAACAAGCTATATCCACATAGATATTTTCTTTGCTAACACCACTCAAAATTAAAAAAAAAATATCAAGTTTAGATTTGCATAAATACACTGATTGAAGAAAACCAACCTTTGACGGTATCTTACATGGCCTTCAGTCAAAGTATATGTGGATACGTTGTCTGTTTGTGTGCCAATATCTACACCGTAGCTGGTAACAGTATGCAGACTGCTGATGATCTCTTTTGGTGTTGTCATTGTGTTCTGAAAGATGGCAGAATTGAATTACCAAAATAAATGATTGTGTTGTAACTTTAACTTTCAGAATCATGTTGAAATTTAGTCTCGATGCAAAGGAAGATAACTGTAGTTTCGATAACCCTTAATCTACATCTATAGATAATCTCATCAGTCACAACATATCTGCACATATTTGACTTTCTACATAACGAGAAGATACATTCGTGTAAACGAAATCAAAATTTACATTTGTATTAAAAAATACACTCATACTGACATTATAAAGATTTAAATGATAAAAGTTTGAAAACAAAATAAATCTTTAACTCAAGAGATCCTTCATAAATACTTTTATTTACTGTTTATCGTTTTGTTTATGAAACATTTTTAAATGTTTTGAAAATAGTATTTGCGCTAGGGCTCTTTAGCACTAAATATAGCTCCCATGTTATCGGATGATTTTGCTTGTATAGATTTTCTAACAAACTGTAATATTTTTTTTCGTTTTAGTTTGCAAGATTAACGCTTAGAGATGTGTTATAATAAAAGAATAAACTTCCACAATTTAAAAAAAAAGTTAAAAGAGTACAAAACTTCTTTTGATAATATTTCTGTTTTTGATGTTTTTGCAATGTATATAAAATAGCAATTACCAAATGTTTATCTATTGTTACAAGGGCAGCATCAAACATTTCATCAGTACTTTTGTGTTGAAATCTTTCTTTTATATCGTTGCATATGGTCTTAGCCATCTCTAGATCTTCCTTTGTCGAATGAGTAATACAGCAATTAACATACTGTAGAAGTGCGCGTAAATGATATCGTGTAAGTCGAATGTTGTTACTTTCATATTCACGACGATATGCCTCCTTGTAATGTTGCTTTGCTTTTGTAATGAATGGTTCAGTATTTTGCAGCTCGAATACATGTGCGATCTTTATATGGATATCAGACATGACCTTCCAGTGATATAATCTTGGAATAATGGACTCTAAATCTTGCGCTAGTGTTAGTGCTCTCTTCACATAGTTAGTATCTTCCTTTGATAGCATGATGTAACATTCCATTAGGAGTTTCTTATTGGATACCATTTGATAATTTGTCGACCTAGAACCGTGCTTAACAACACCAAATTCTATAAATCGAATATTTGATTCAGAGTTTTCTTCTAGAATCTTTACAGCGTCCTTTATGCATTTAATAGATTTGTTTGAGTCCTGTGAACTGATATAGTATAAAATGGCTCCTCGTCTTGCCGCTATTTTCAATCCCAGCCGAAACGCAGGACAGTTATGTTTATAATGATTATCTAGTAGTTCAGCTAGATTGATGGAGTACTGTAATTCAACAAGACTTTCATCTGTAGGACAAAGATTATCACTTGACAAACGTGCCATTAGATGGTTTCTTCTTTCTGGATTCGGTTTAGTAAAGTCGTCCGTAGCTAATTTCATAAGACGCTTGTTTTTACTACTGTTATAAAGTATGTGTATCATAAGTTCTACCAAGAAAGATTCCTTGAACTCCTGAAAAGGGACGATAATTTGTTTTTCTATTAATTCTCCAATCGAATCTTTTGCTATCTGGTTATTGGTATAACTTATGCCATTTGTCACTTCGAGTAGATAACAAAGTTGTTCGTTGTTTCTCATGGTATTGGTAATAACTGTCAAAATAAAGGAGTCACTTAGACTCTTTCCCTTGTGAAGAAGCTTTTCGAACAGATTTTTTGAATTTTCTTGGATTAATTCACAGCCATTTATTGAGATATGTATGTCATTCATAGCAGTAAATCCACTTACAGTTACAGCAAAATCTGCTTTGTTGACAGATACAAGTTCACAAACTGCATCTCTTGCTTTTTCAAAATACTCATTAGCGGACAATTCTGTGTTTCCATAAAGTCGGTAGGTAACAGCTACACCACATAAAAGAACACAACACAAAACCTTATCTTCCATTTCTGGTCGACGATTACAGTTCTCATATAACTTAAGAAGTTCAAGTGCATGATCTAGAAACATAACATTCTTTTTAACGGCTTCAATAAGGCTAGTATCAAGATAAATATTGTGACAAAAATGTCGGAGGAGCGCGTTTGCTTCATTTGTTTTCTCCTTCTCGGTCTTCATATTCATCATGACTCTGAACGTAAATCGATGTACAGCAATTACACGGTTATTACCCCTTGATTTCAAAGTTGCCAAAGAATTATTTCTCAGACAAACAATTAGCTTATTTATCTCTCTTTGTTTAAAGTCTTCCGTCATGTTTACTGGCAGTAAACTTTTCAGCAAAAAATCTGGTATGTTTTCTGGATGCAGGTATGGAATATATGCCAGGAGATTTTTACCATGTTCTGTGAGATCCTTCTTCACTATCTCTAATGCAACTTCGCATGACACAGTAAGAGATCTTAATTGGTCATTTGCCTCGGTTTCTGCAAGACTTTTAACATAGGTTTCGATGCTAGATCCTGTGTTTGCAATAAATGCAAAAGCAAATGATAAAGCAAGGGGAAGATAACTCAGTTGTCTTGCCAGTTCTTTGACCTGTTCAAGTTCGTCATTATTTACAACTTTAAAGTAAAGAACAGCTTCTTCCTCGGTCATTCCTGTAACTTCTATACACAGATTGTGGAATTCATCTGGATAGGTTACCCTTGAGGTGGCAATAACATAAACATTTTCAGTATCTAGGAAATCTTTTAGCATCTTCGTAAAAGTATCGTCGGACGTATCCTCTACGCCATCAAGCAGAACCAAATGGTTCGCGCTATTTATACCCTCACAACGTAACTTCTGCTGGATTCGCTTTGTCATCTTATCTATTGACGCCTTCAACTGGCGATCAGACTGTGTACATGTCACGTGATCAAGAAAAATACATTGAAGTTTAAGATAGGCCACCATTGCTGACAGGGATCTATATATCTGTGATAATGTTTTACAGTCTATTCTCCAAATTAGTGACTTTTCACTTTTACCAGGAAAACGTCTGGCATATGAGTAGGCATGTTGAGTTTTTCCAGATCCGTGGTGACCTAAAATATCATGCTTTTCAAAATTTAGATAAAATATGTTCATGTGATTAAAATTCAGATTTCAAAAAACATTTATTTACTTATAGTCAATTAGATAGTAATGCAACGAACAAAAACACACCTAGAGGACTACACAAAGTCTTCATCGATTGTCAGGTGTCTACATAATATTTACCAAGTTCATAATCGTCATATGTGTGTGTGTATGATTTTGTTCTTAAGTTGTACGATAATTCTGAAACGTTCATAAGGATTTTTTAATATGCTAGAGTTGCAAAACATCTTTTCAGACTTTGACGAGAAGATAAATCTAGAGAAACGATTCGGAAATTTATTTAGTGTTGTTTTCATATTTTTCTGACGACAAGACAGAGCAGATTGGAAGCCAGATTACTTACTTTCACTAACAAACCCATCTTCGCTAGCCAAGGGTTACGATCCACTTTCCTCCTCTTCACGGAAGTGGATCGTAACCCTTGGCTAGCGAAGATGTAACAAACCAGGTGTGAGGGGAAACATATATTTCATCATACGATTTTAATATCTTACCTGTTTTTGGTCGCATAGTTAATCATAATATGTCAAAATTTCAGTTTCTCACCCCAATCAGCCTCAAAACATGTTTACAAAACTTACAATAGTATTGTTTCAACATTCAACATTCAACATTAAACATAGGAAAAACTAAAAGAAATATTACACCAAACACAAGGACAGAGGTGAAAAAGGAAGAAACAATACTTTTGGAATACTCACATGAAATTTTAATCTTAACTGCTCGATATGTGTACATCCAACTAAATAAAGCTCATGGCGCTGACAGCGGTTGCGAATTATTATTCAAGATAATGTTACATCATTAACAATGGATGAAAGAAAACACTTTAAACTTGTATTTGTCTAAATCTCGATATTCTTTGAGTGTTCCTGAATAATAATATTGTTTCGGAAAATTGAATATGCTTTACTATGGCAAGATAAGGTATGACGTCAAAAAGTATGATTTTATATATTACTCACTCGTGGATTGTTAGTAACATAACTTATCTGGCTTGAAGTTTCCACTGCCATTTATAAATCAAAATTATCTGGCATGCATATATTGCTTGTTTATAGACGATGGGTACATTTTGCATTAGAGTTGTCTTCCTTTTACCAAAAAAACAAGCAAATAAATTCTGTCTCTAGTATGGCAGATCGTTATATATAGTAGTATATCTTGAATTCATAACTTCCCTAGAAATTAAGAGCTTGACATATGAGATCTGTCTATCGTTGATATAGATTGATACACATAGTAAAAAGTTTACTTTCACAATTTTACACCTTCTGTTTACGTGAAATGACTGCAATGTTTTATTTGAGTTTTAGATATTCTAATATCAAGACTAAAGGATGTATGCTAGCAATTATTAATTTGCTCCAGAGATATGAAAAAAAAATATATAAATATTCAAGCCTTTTAGTTTTAAGTGATAAATGAACAGATTGATATGATCTTGATTTAGTAGTAAAGAACGGTCATTTGCTATATCGAAACCAACATATTTGACTTAATTGGCCATTTTCTACATAGTTTTTGGAAATAACAGATATATTAAAATAATGAATATATTTGCGAAAAACATATGGTAGCATTTTTTTGGGTAAAGCCTAGAGTCATATCTACGTATTAAGGACAACATCTCAAATTATTGCTTTTTGCCAGGTTTGCACTATATGCCCTTATGGCAATATTTAAGACAAAATCAAAAAATAAAAATCCATACTTATATCGGACAGAACAACGTCTTACAAACAACTGAAAAATGTTAACTGACAGTTTTTGATTTTCAAATTCAATGAATCAAAACCTGGCTTATCATACCTTTTTCTTTAAACATTTTGTCTGATATCCATTTGTTTGTTTTCATGTGCTACCTGTTAATGTGCAATTTAATCATACCTTTGATAAGAGCAGCTTTACACGTGTTAATTTTCTTTTCGAATAATCTGTACTCATCTGTTTCAATATAATTCTCAACTACTGGCATACCGTTTATACCGTAATAATCTACATTGAGAAATTAATAGTGTTGTATATCAAGTCATAATTCGGTTATCTGATGGTACATGTATATGAATTTTGATTTATAACAAACATATATGAGTTAGCAATTAATACCATCATTTCATCGAGTAATTTTTCAAAGAAACTTTAATATATGTAGTTTTTCTTCAACTAAATCTGTGTGCATCTACCCAGAAACCAATTACTTACAGGAAATGATAATAATGCATATATCTTCTATGTTCTACAACGGAGAAATTCTATATAACGTAATAAATGAAATATCAACCAGTTATTTGAGAGAACTAATTTCTTTCTGATTTTTCAGAAGGTGTAAATATTGTGTAGAACGTTATTATACCAGTAAAATAACTCATCAAATATATTAATGGGGTAGAACATCCTTAGTAAATGATTTATGATATTGTCACAAACACAGTAGCGTTTACCTTGACCTATGACCAGGAAGTATACTACTTAATGTTCTCAAACCTTTTATTGTAGACGTTTAGGAATGTTAAGGTTTAAAATAATAAAATGTCAACAAATAGATAATAAACTATATGACTGTATTGATATTTTTTCCCAATTAGGTGGAAAAGGTAAACTTCCTTGACTATACATTTTTCTCAGAATTGATATTAATCAGATTTCTTTATCAGTTTATGGTATAAACTCATTTTCTGTTCTTATAACTATGCGTGTAATATAGCGTAATTTAAAATCTATATCACAAAAGAAAATCCCTCAAACAATATAAAAATCGCCAACAAACTAATTATTACAACACAAAAGAAATAATAAATTGTAAAAAGTTGTAAGAAAAAACGAAATAAAAAGTAAAATTACAAAAATACTGAAACTCCAAGGAAAATTCAAAACGGAGAGTCCCTTAAAATGATTATACTAACAGTTTACAAATAAGTGTTATGTGACAGTTGTGGAATATCTTTTTCATGACTGATATGTTCCACCAGTAGGATCATCTCTCCTTTTTGGAGTACCTGACGGTGGGGTTCTTGTTACTCGGGCTTATTTTTTATGTTAAGTTTTGTAGACTGTTATTTGTCTTTTCGGCGATGTTCGTTTTTTGGGTTTATTTTTGCCATGGCGTTTTCAGTTTGTCTTTGACTAATGAGTTTAGATATCCTTGTTATCTTCCGCCTCTCTTTTCTGTCACAGTTAATATAAGAGTTAAGAGGAGTGGTATGATTTCCAATGAGACAATTTTCCACCACAGAGCAAATGAGTTGGTGTATACAATTATAGGTCAAAAACGGTGCATCTGAATAAGAAAATCAAATTTTACCGTTAATTTCATGTATTAGCATGTATTGTTTGGTTTCTAACGCATTTCAGTCAGGCTTTATCTCTCTTTTTTATATTCTTTCCATAATGTGTCTTCGCTCTTCAGTTTAATAAAAAAGTTATTGTATTTATGTGTATTTCTTGAATAACATTTCCTATAATCATTAATACTCAATAAGGACCATTATCACCAAGACAAATGATTCAATAAAAAAGAACCATCCATTGATAACTTTTGTGGAGGGACCGTTATTGCTAAAAATGAATCTAAAAATCTAAAAAGGGACACCAAGGGGGAAATCAAAACACAAGTCGAAGGCGGACAGACAATATCATGTCGAGAGGAAAACCCACAAACAACATCCTACGCACAAATCACTTCACAGAACAAAAACTTAGCAACTCCAAAAACCGACGAGTACGAGGTGCTCCTTTTAGGGACCACACTTTCTCAGACGCTTAATTGACCTAGTTATATATCATCTGAATTTTAATAGATCTTCAACATAATAAGAAAAAAACCAAAGAACAATTGTTAAATCTTTTGCAAGTGATTCATTATTATTTTTTATTTCGTTTGAAATTAAAAGTCATACAATTTTCAAATTTTCAAAAGTCACGTTTAATACAATTTGCTGTGCTTTTCTTCTTATCGACTTGTTCCTTTATTCATATAAGGCTGACTTCATACAGGAACTTCTCAGGGAGAAAGAAAAGAAGTTAGCAGTATTCTTTAACTTCACTTTCCGCTAAATAGATATTAACTATGTTAACGCATCTATCCCATCGAACTTGAGATAAAGGATACAACAGCTACAATTAAGTCTGCCTCTTATCTTGACTTACATCTAGAAATTGACAATGAGGGTCGGCTGAAAACAAAACTTTACGGTAAAAGAGATGATTTCAGCTTCCCAATTGTGAACTTTTACTTCTATGTAGCAACATTCCAGCAGCTCCTGCATACGGAGTATATATTTCCCAGTTGATACGATATTCCAGGGCTTGTATTTCCTATTATGATTTCCTTGATAGAGGGTTGCTGCTCACAAGGAAGCTATAAATCCAAGAAGCCCAAGTGGTGAAGTTGAAATCGTTCCTTCGTAAATTTTACGGTGGCCATCACGAGTTTGTTGACCGTTATGGAATATCCGTTTCGCAGATGACCACAGATATGTTCCAATTGTCGTAACTACAATGTGACATACCGGATTATAATTATCACCGGGTTTGTATTAATATTAGCAACACGACGGGTTCCAAATATGGAGCAGAATCTGCTTACCTTTCTGGAGCACCCGAGATCACTCCCAGTTTTTGGTGGGGTTCATGTTGCTCAGTTTTTAATTTTTTGTGTTGTGTTTTGTGTACTGTTGTTTGTCTGTTTGTCTGTTTGTCTGTTTGTCTGTTGGTCTTTTTCTTTTTTAGCCATGGTGTTGTCAGTTTAGTTTCGACTTATGAGTTTGAATGCTCCTTTGGTATTTTTTTTTCGCCTCCCTTTTGCTATGTACAGCCCAGCCAGATATTCACATAATCTTTATTTGGGGTGAATAAGTTCGATTGTATCAACTTACCATGATTAGATAGGTTCACAGGAAGATTGGTTTCCATATATATTTGCACTTTCTTAGACAGGTCTATTCTACCCTCTAACTGCAACAAGTTCATGAACTCCAAAACCTTTGTTCTTGATAACAATTCTTTCCTCTCAAGAAGTTGTATCAAGTCGCTACCTTCGTTTACGTTGACAAGTTCCTTTTGGTAAATATTTGGTTTGTCCCTCAAAAGGAATTTCAAACCTCTTATATTTCCTATACAACATTAAACAAAAATGTTCTTAGGTCTTTAGCTTTACAATATAAAATAATTAAGATAACAAAAACGGATAACAGGAGTTGCCAAAAATATATGACATAACAACTGGCCAAACCAATCACCAACACACGACCCCTTCGAAAAAAATAAACATGGCTGTACTAACAAAGACAAACAAAAGTGAACAGCACATGGTTCAGATAGCCTAACTTGGTACAGGCACCAAATGTTAAAGGATTCAACCAATTTTATGTGCACATTAACGTCTCTATTTGTTTATATTAAAATATTGGAATTTGAGTGATTCCAAATAGAAAAGTTATCATCGAACAATACAGAAAATGGAAAAGAATTTACAATGTCTACATTTGTACGTGCCACTTATTGCATTTGCAAGGGGCGGAGATTATCTAATTTTCATTAAATTTGAGATGATATTTGAAATGAATATTAAAACACATATCTCCCTTATTTCCTTTTCAATTTGTGACAGAAATGGCTGTGGAAGTAGAACATAAGGGGTGATTTCTGTTATATTTGTCATAGATCATCAACGAAGATATATCATGTAGTAAATCATTGCTTTTCTGATAAAGGATCTCAAAAAGCTTACTAAATGAATTGTTAAGTTGACCTAGCGGTTAAAAGTCAAAATTATATATCGATCTTGATGTTATACTACACGTCAGATATAGTCTGAAGTATTATCTAGTTGCACATATCTACTGATAATCCAAAATTTATCATAATGGCAAAATCATCAACGATGCTGATAGTGCACTTAAATAAATCTGGTTCAAAACACAAGTTTTGTAGACGAATATTACAATTAGAAGTAAATTGAAAAAAAATATAAAGCTCATACAATTAAAATGTTTTCGTGTTAAATTTGCGAATAAAGACTCGTATTTTATTAAATAGAATTGGACATTTTTTTATGCATCACCTATTCTTCTAATTAACAGTGCATCCTGTATAATATTTTCGTCTAATTTCAAAAATGAAATATCAATATAGATACTGTGCATTGATTCATATTGTCATTTGTGATTTAATGTAAACTGGTTTTTTTTTTTCGACGTGACAATCCGTTTCTAAGATTCACTTGCAATTTATTTATATATCGTGAAAATAATAAAGAATCGATATATGGAACATACCTGCGTCAAGACCATCAGCAACCTCTTTCATAACTTTAATATAACAGTCGAAATCCATGTTGGTTCTTCAACCTGAAGGGAAAATACTAAGTTTGACATTTCTTTTATACTTATCTATTCATATATGATGTATATTTCGTATCTAAATTGAAATTAAAATGACATCTACGTAAATTTTGAATGAGAATGTAATATTTGGCATTGCACGGTAGGTATTATGTAAATAGTGAACGTTTTCGTTGGTTTTTCTTCTTAATCAAACACAAAACAACTAATCATAGTTTCCTCTCCTTTTTTTTTTTTGCCTTAGGTACTTCTAAGAAAAAAAACATGAATTCATTAGTCTTTGTCTTGCGTATCCATCAAAAAAACATAGTTTGATTGTCATTTGATATATTCAAAATAAAAATTATAAATAAGGAAATAATTTGTTTCATATTTTTTTAATTTGTTACTAGGGAATGAAAAATGAAAATTAAAATTCAAGTTTTGATCGTTATTCAACTTCTTCTTTTTGATCACAAAAGAGTGCACACGCTAAGAGGTCTCACCTTCTTTACTGGTCATGATTGAATTTTATGTTAAGAGTCTTTAAGATCAAGGTTTTACTATATAATTATATCACTTAGATTTAAATTACTGCTTATTGTATATATGAAATAGACCACCGCACTACAACTTATTACTGACATGATTATCGATGTAAATGGGGTCAATGTCAGATGAATCCTGCAAAATAGACGTGTTCACCTTATAAACAATCTAATATCAGATAATGTTGACCTACTGCTTATAGCGTCTGAGAAACGGACCTCATAGTGAAAACTTAACATGGACCTATGAACAATGAAAATGAGTTTATTGCCAGATGAAACCTGTCAGGTAGACATGTACTTCTTATAATTATTTAATACACCATATATAGTTGACCAACTGCTTATGGTATCTGAGAAACAGATCTAATAAAAAAAAATTACTTTGGTGAAAGAACCACGAGCATTATGTCACAGTCAGATGAACCCTGAAAATGGAAATGTACACCTCACAAGCATCCAATACATCAAATATAGTTGACCTACTGCTTATATTATCTGAGAAACGGACCTAATCATGAAAACATGACATTGATCACTGCGGCCAAGATTATGCTACCCTGTCTGACGGACATGAAGACTTTCCAAGGATCCCATGTTCCACAAATATAGTTATGCTATTTCTCAGAAGAGAGTTTTTGAGGAATCGCTGAACCATGAAAATGAAGTCAATGTACATATGCTAGACAGAAGCTTTGCAACATAAGCTTAAGGCATACAAGGTACGAAGTATCCAGACCTTTTACCTTCTAAAATACAAATATTTATACAAATATTATACGCCATCGCCGTCTGTGAATTAGCATCCATATATTTCGAATTTAGGGACTCTATTCGTAGGCGAGACAAAAATCGAAGAAACGAATTGCCGTGAATGTAAAAGAATCGTCAGTCAATCAATAATAAATCGTATTACTACATTGTGACGAACTTTGTGATTAATTTGACTCGCAATTACCAAAGACGTTATAAAATTTTACAAGACTTTAATAAATTTGAAGTTTGTAAAACAATGAACACATATTATTTCGATCATAAAACCACAAAATATCAATTATCAGATTTTCACGTATTACAAAATTTTGACACAATTTGAAGTTCAGAGCTCGTTATTTGATCTCAATTGTCAATGAAAACTATATATTGTTGCCCGCAGCTGACATAAATATTCATTGTAGTATCAACATGCAATAGGCCTGGTAATCGGTTAACATGTATATTGTTAACTTTATCTTTTAAATTTAAGAACGTACCTTTTAAATATTTCATCCACATGTATTTTATGTAATTGCATAAGCTTATGTGTACTCTCGTACATTGATCAAACTGGTATGTTAATTTGAACAATTGCATTAACCTGATAGGTTATTTTCGTTTTCACCGTTCTTGCCTAAATAAAACACGCAAGTCTTTAAGTTGACAACCAAATAATCCTGCTTTATTAATCTATAAACTTATATTTATTGGTATGCTTGACAGTTTTTTTTTAATTCATCTCTGCAGACATGTTCGATATCCTATATATATGTAAGGAAAAAATGAAAACTCGCACTTACCAAAGACGTCATAGAATTTAACAAGACTTTGATAAATTTGAAGTTTGTGAGAGAAATGGTTGTGACCCGTTATATTTTTCTTGTATGAAGAGATATTTCTCGTATTACACCACACGGAGTTTGATACGAAAAAGTTGTACGAAAACTGCGTAAATTGATTGGCTTATAAAGTACATGAGACGATATTACGACATTTCCATTGGCTATTCGTTATGTAATTGATGTCTTTCAAAGGTTACGACGATATGTACATTTTGTCCATGGATACGGACATATGCGATTTCTCCAATGATACACATAACACTCTCACTTTTCACCTGAAAATCTTCTTTTTGTCATATTTCAATACATTCAGAAGTGTACAAAATTTTTTAAAATGTCGGATGTTAAAGTTTGACGCTGGAACAGGACATGTGACGTCATACTGGTATGTGCAAAAGACTAGTCAATTTACCACAATGAGAGTGTTGACCATAAGAGAAATAAGAGAAATAGGTTTAACAATTCGGGAGAATTGGATATAGCTTGATATCAACTCTCGTTACTTAATTTAAATAGTAATAAAAAACTTTTTCTTAGCAAATATTATGTAGGCCTCTAACCCAATGAGAATATGAATAACCGAAAATATTAAAGAGACAGCAATCCGATATTCTGAAAGATATTATGAAGTTATTATGCGATACTCCCTTTTATGTATTGTCAAGGTAAACTGTCAAAGTATGATTGGCCAAATTTGGTTCCATTTGGACAGGAGGTTAAAGAAGTTTACCCGACAACGGACGAGTATATAACTGTCGTGTAAGATTACAGTGGGTTACCGATCAAATAATATAAATGACCAACCAGTGGATACGTATATAAACAATTGGAAAAAAGTATCTTTATGAAATAAGTTCAACATTTAAATTTATTAATATCAAAGTTGTATATGATATTTTATATTTAAATAAAAACAAAGGTAAGATTTGGAGCCGAATTGCACATAAATATTTCATTAGTCATTGGATTTTCACTACCCATGAGTAGCATGAAAATATGAGAGCTTTTTACCCTTTTTTAAAACCTGATTTCACCCGGGGGTTTGGTGATGTTCGTGTTTTCTCAATAGTGTTGTGTTCGTGTTGATAAATCATGAGTCTTCTATGCAGTGTTTATAATATTGAGGTTTTCCACTTTTCCGAAGAAAGACCTTTTGTTTTTGTTCTGATTATTTTTTTTTCTTCCGCCAATTTTTTTTTTTGCACTGAATTGATGTTTCAAAACATGTAGTTTAAATATTTTGTATATGCTATTATACAGTTTATACGCTTTTGAAACTGACCCTGTTTAACCAGACACTTTTCTTTGTAAGAGTTATCTCCCTAAACACTGTTTTTCTTGTAATGACTTCTCCTTCGCAACCGTAAGAGAAAGCGACAAATTTATTTTTCCAAATTGCTAGTTATATCCTCTCAGAATGATACGTTTTATATTAACCGAAGCGTTGTGGAGACTCCATATGAGAGTTATTTCCCCTTCTTTATTTAACATAAGTGAAATATTATGGTAACTCATAAACCATAAGTCATAGAGACCAGGGTCTGTTGATTTGAGGTCCTTGGTCAAACGAAATGAAAATGAGGTCAAGGTCAAAGGTGAAGGTCATATTTCAAATTTTGATTTTGGCTAATTTTCACTTATTATCAGATAGCAAAATTTTTTTTACTATTATGTTAGATGCGACATGTTGTTACACTTAAATTTTGGTTGAAAGGATACGTTGACATTTGAAGAGAGTTTTTCCCCTCTTATATTCTAAATAAGCTGTATGGTGATATAATTAATTAACCATATATAGAAGAGACCTAGGCTCTTTTGATTTGAGGTCCTTGCTTTATGACCTTGAAATTGATGTTCTAGATTTTGACCTTTTCTAGAAATTCTTGTTGGTATATAAGGTCGTGAGGTCTTTTACATTGAGTTTCAGACATATGACCTTGAAAGTAGGTCAACCGGAAGTGACCTTTTGCAAACCGGAAGGAGCCATTGTTGCATTAGTTTCATGTTGAAATTACTAGTACTTTATATTTTTGGAATCAGTTTGAAGTAATGTTTAATTGAATGAAACCGGAAGTGAAATTTTGAAAACCGGAAGTACCTTGTTATCTCCCTTTTTTGAAGCAAAACTATTGAGAAACCATATATTTTTAGTATCAGCGTTAATAAAGCTATTAACTGTCACCAGAATTGACATTTTAAACCGGAAGTGAATATTTCCTATCAAAACATATGCAATAAGGGTGGAAAGACCTTCAATTGTTCTTAGAACAAGTGTTTTTTTTTCTTTCTTACGCATAATTATTTTTCTTGCACAAGATGTTGCTTAGATATTTGGTATATGATATTGTACATTTTATTTGCTTTTGAAACTGACCCTGTTTAACCGAACACTTTTTCTTGTTGAAGTTATTTCCCCAAACACTGTTTTTCTTGTGTCCACTACTCCTTTGCAACCGTAAAAGAAACCCAGAAATTTATTTTACCAAATTAATCGATCTTTCTTCAGGATGTTGAGTTTGGTTTTGACCGAAACGTTCCGGAGACTCCATAGGGGAGTTATTCCCCCTTATGAATTAAATATAAGTGATATGTATTTGTAACTAGTAAACCATGCGAGATATAGACCAAGGGTTTTTTTATTTTGGGGTCTTTGAGCCACTAATAGAAAAATAAGGTCAAGATCAAAGGTCAAGGTCATGTTCTTCATTTTGATTTTGTCTTATTATCACTAATTATAAGAAACCGTAGTAGATAACGACAAATCATTTTTACTAAATTGTAAGTTCGTAACACATACATTAAGGTTGAAAGTGTACTTTGACATTTAATTGGAGTTTTCTCCCCTCATATATTTAAAATTTTTTGTATGTTGATATAACTCATTAACCATATACAGTAGAGATCTTGGGTCATTAGATTTGAGGTCCTTGCTTTACGACCTTGAAATTGAGGTCAAGGTCATAGTTAAATTTGACCTTTGCTGTAACTTATTATTGGATAGGGTCTTTTACATTGGGTAGTCAAGTAGACTTATGACCTTGAAGAAGGGCAACCAGAAGTGACCTTTTGTTAACCGCAAGTAGCCATTTTTGCATTATTTTCATGTTAAAAGTACAAGATCTTTATTATTTTTTTAAACATTGTGAAGTGGGGTTCAAATGAAACAGGAAGTGAAATATTGTAAACTGGAACTACCTATTTATCTACCTTAGTTTTAGCAAAAGTATCTAGAAATCATATATTTATGGAATCAGCGTAAAGTAAGCTTTTATCTGACATCAAAATTGACATCCCAAGCCAAGAGTAAATATTTTGCTATCAAAATATGCATTTGAGGTGGAAAGACCTTCATTAATTATTCTTTTTTTCTTTTTACTTTTTAAGTCGTGTTGTAAATTTTCCTAGAATTATTATTTCGTGTTCTCTTTATATCTCCTTTTTTTTTTTTAGAGAGAGAATCAATGTTTATTTGATATTTTAGAACACAGCATATATATTTTGTCCATTTTTAATCCATTCCTGGGCTTTCAAAGCCTTGAAATGACAGCAAATACTTTGATATGACAAGATCATGAAATTAAACGTATGATTTACACAAGCTGAGATCAAGACTTGGTCAAAAATATTTAAAGAATGAAGTGTAAAATATAAGTAATGATATACTCTCTGCCGTTTTGTGCATTGTAATTAAGACTCTGCAAGTTTTGCAATTTCTTCGTAATTTATGAAGTTATTATAAAACTATTTCAGGGACATAAAAACAACATTTCATATAATAACTTAGTCAAATTAAAACAATAGCTTTCTTTTTTAACAGTCATTAGAACAGAAGTCTGGAGACCAAATTTTTAATATTGACTTAAAATATATGTTCAATTTGTAGTATACATGTATTTGATTTAATTATTCCTACTTTGATTTCTTGCCACAAACCTTATTCTAGTTTTCAGTGGCAATGAAATATTAAATTAGATTGAACTGAAATAAAAAGCATTTTATAGAATTTTTAGTAACTACCATTTACCTTAAAAACAATAAATACTTAATTTACTGAAATAACCTTAAAGGTTCTGGATTCACTCATGGCAGTGATTAAAGAGTATAAATATATATCCAGAAATAATTTTAAAAAAATACTTTAATAATTTACCAAGACTTAATTGAAGCCCTTTCATTTGAATTTTAGATCAAAATGTCCATTTAGAATAAAACTCAACTACTTCTGTTGCAAAAATTTTGAGAATTTATGGTGCGAAAGAAGCTTTTAGGTGCACTTTTGCTGGTTTAAATTATTCAATCAAATGGTTTAGATTGACGATTCTGTATTATATCATTACACCTAATGTTAATTTAAATCTTTTGACTTATCTTGAAAAAACAGATGTCGGTTTGTAGGTCATATTGTTGTTTAACAATATCCGTAAAAAGTCTACCTTGGTCTATTCTAATTATCATACTTTTAAACACATTTTACAACACACTAACATTACTCATGCAGTTCGGGGTGGATATAATATTTCATCCGAAGCAATACATATTTAAATGAATGAATTGTAATAGCTTACTAATAGTTGCGCTAATTCTAACCTGATAAAGTTATAAGAAATCAAAATAAATTCACCTGCTCTATATTTTTTTTCCAAGTCGGCATTGTGAACTCAATTTTGTTCTGACAGCGTTATAAAAATCATTATTAATGACAATGTCCTTTCGAGTATACATGTATATACATGTGTGTTGTCAGTATCAATACACTATATATATGTGCAATAGGTAAATTGTAGAAAAACATAAAATGTGTTCTATTAAGAAAGATCTACTGCGTTGCATCCTTGTTTGTCCTATTGACAGAAGTGGTCTTAATAAGATCCTAATGACTTAAGACGATAAGTCGCAATCGTTTTGATAACATTAACGGTACCACTTTTACTGCACCAGATGGCGAATTTCGACAATTTATGTCTCTTCAGTGATCGAGCTAACATAAACCATCGTAATGACAAATGCATTTAAAGTTGCTATTCATATGATTAATGAAATGGTTGATTAATAAATAAAATAAGAACAACAGAATCGACCGCAAACTATTTTGATTTAGAAATTTTGGAAATATAAATGAAAGGATCGAAAAATCAATTGCTGTGTAGGATTTGTGTATCACCTGGTTTTAAAAGATCAAACTAAGTTGTTAATTAGATTCAATTTATCTAATCATGCTTATATGAACATTTTCAAAAATCATAACTTTATTTCAAAAAAAAATTAACAAAATTTCATTTGCAGTTTACTCCTTTTATTCAAATGATAGCCGCTCTGCACAAAATTCTAGAAGAAAACCATTTTGCGTTTGCCTTACAAAGAAAGCAAAATCTCAATTTCAGCTGGATGCATTTCTATTTCTATGTATGTATATGAAAATTCACATCAATAATTCTAATTGAAAATCTTACCTATAAATTTTGTAATAGAAACGCACGTCTGTCGTACAAAATCTTACTCCTGGTATGTATGAAGAGTTTATTTACAATACGGTTTTTTAATCATACTTTTATTTTCTCATACCTGATTTAAGTTAGTTGGAAATTTTCATTTACGTCATACACTATCTATAAACTTTCAATAAAAAGATTTCTATCCAGAAACTATGTTACTGGTTACGGACAATAAGAAAAAAGATGTCAGAAACAAATATATGAATGACAAATCTCGTAAATGTGTATACATTAAAAGAAAATCGTTCTCATCTTTGTCCTTTCTTGGTCTTCATGGATAGTTGTCTCATTGGCAGCCATACCACAAAAAGTATAACAAAAATACAGAGCTCCAAAAAAAATTTAAATCTGAAATGATTCATACTTTCATAATAAATTAAAAACTATTGTGATTTGATTTCCTTTCATCTGCATTGTAATAAGGCATGTTGCATGTCGTTCTCATTTTTTACCGGGGGTGATCTCAGGTACTCCGGAAAGGAACTGACATTAAACTTTTAATAGAAAAATTAGAAATCAACCAAATCATCTCGGAGAAGGAAAACTGGCGTGATTATATTGTCAATGTTTTTTTACCATGAATAATCTTCTTTTTGTATGTTTTAGATACTCCTTGAGGACTTTTGCCCGAATGGGTGTATCTAATACACACCAAGATATTATTGTCAATGCAGAATGATAGTTTTCAATAATTCAGGAGGGGGTCTTTCAGGGATTTGATCATATGTTATTGAAAAGCATGAGAAATGCAGGGTATCCAATTTCAGTTAATGACATCTTGGTGTAAATCAGCATATGCTATCCTTACATCCAACTAGCATCTTTCAACTAATCAAGCGATGTAGGATGTGTTTTAAGCTTCTGATGTTTATTGACAGATATATTTACAGACTGATTAAATGAGACAAACGGCCAGAGAGATAGGTTGATTCCTAAAAAAAAATGCAAACTTTTGGTAAACAGAATTTTAATCAGACAGTCGTCGACTTTCCTATTGGCTTATAGTTAACATCTCTGTTAAGTTACTCATCTAGCATGTTTATTACAATTCAACTTGTTTATATGATGAAATATATGAAGAAATCGTAAAATTTGGAAAATTATAATGGTAAGTAGGAACTGTCAGTCCGCTATAGGACCATCCGCTAAATAGTCAGGTTTATGCAATTAAATAATACAATGTTAGATGTACATTTTCAGTTCATAGTTTACGTCAAAAATCTACTAATGTTGCAACTCCTTTTGGCAGAGTTGACATTAGAAGGATCTTGGCTTTTCTGATGATTTCTTTTGTAAGATTGTTCATCTATCTAGAGTGATTAATAATCCACACACAAAAGTGACAGTCTATCGTATAGTGTATGAGAATTGGTATCCTCCGTTTAAAAATAAAAAAAAATCTTTATTTGACAAACGATCTGCGTAATTAGCTAAATTACTTGCATACCCCCCCCCCTTTTTTGTCCCTTTTTATGTTAAAGGTTCAACTAAAACTGTCTATAATTGATTGAATTTTTAGGCAACAGTAGTTAACCGATGTCACACATACACTAGGAAGATGGTTTATTCCCGATTGTCCCACTTTTTTAAAAATTTTAGATTTCTGATGTCAATACCTTAATTTTACTTAACTTTTCTCTAAAGTTTTTAAATAAATTTAGAAATAATGCATGCATTTGAAAAAAAGTATAAAATTTACACTCTACGCTCTACACGCACATGTTGATGGAGAGATGTTGCCACTAGTCTTTGTAATTTTACTTGGGAAGTCAAATGACATTAACACAACATTCTCTACACTTCTGAAGTCTGCTTACACCCAACGTCAGATTCACCAGAATCAAACAACTTTCTTTATTGATAACGAAGCTGCTGTTCAGAATTCTGCCAGAGCAGCCTTTAACAGAATCACTATTAAAGACTGTTTTTCCAATATACCCAGTGTGTTTGCCGTAAAATGCAGTCAACAGGACTCGTCACCAACTATAAAGAGCAACAGTCTTCCACCAACGTGTACGCAGGGCAGCAGTTCGTCCACTGGTACCAGACGCCTGGTTCCATCTAAAAACCTGGAAATTTCGGACAAATAACACTACGTTTCAGGACTACATGTATGTCACAACATACTGGGTTGAAAGCAACATCATTCAGTATCTAGCCGGGGGGAGGGGGTTAAGACCAACAAAGAGAAGACAATACAAACAAATCAATCAACACGAACTCAAATATCGTCTGCAAAATGCCGCAGTTTGTGCTTTTTGTGCTTTTTTTAGTCCCCTACCAACGTAGTGCTTGAAGATGTTGATTTAATATTTGGTGTATTGTTTTATCACGACAAGATACAGATCAAGTTCGAATTGTGCTAAATATGTGTTATTTTATGACATCATATTATATTCTATTTTTGATGATACTTCAATTGCTACTATTACATGTAAAATATATACATATTATTATTTGTTCATGTTTATTTTTATATTTTATAAGTTACATTGATTAGTAACCTGTAATTAACTGCTACATACTATAAAAACAAATTAATCACTAACAAAACAATTCCTGATTGTCCCACATTTAAACTTCCCAATTGTCCCACAAACATATTCCCACAAAATTTCATAACTATGTTACCTGCCGGTAATTTCAAAAAATGGGACAATCGGGAAGACACCAGGATGATACATAAGGACAGAGATTGGGGAAAACCCGCTTAGATGATGATGATGATTATGATGGATGGCTGCTTAACGTCCGGCGGCAAATTAAAATGCATATTCAGGACGAGAACGTGTTAATGTAATATGAATATTAAACCTGCTTTGTACTAGACCGACACGCTGAGCCGGATTTTTAACGTGCAAGTTCACAAGGTAACAGTTCGCAGGAAGACATACCGTATAGCGGTTTTTTCGCGGGCGTAAAATTTCGCGATTTAGGGGCAACAAAGTATACGAAAAATTTTGGCGGATTCATAATTCCCAATTAAATATTTTTGCGGATACTGAAATGGTTGCAGTAAAAAACAGAAATCATTTAATCAAGTGTCTACTGTTATGGTTAAATGGGTTATTTTACCTGAATTACGTCATATTTTTTTTATTATTTTCTGATAAATTTAATCAATAGAATATTTGTCACAGGTAAACAAACTTCTTGTAAATGTTTCAGTTGATTAGTTACGAAATTGACCGGACTTTAACTCATTAGGTTATAAAATTATCAAAAGTGGCTTACAACTCTTGTAGAGGTGACTCTTAAAAAAAATAGTGTCTATATAATTAGACACTAATTAACAAGGATAAAATACCTGACAAAGTACCTTATATTTTTACATGATTTGACACTAAATAATAAGGGTATACAGTTTAATTAGAATTCACGACGTCATTTTATAAAATACATATATGTATAGTGCCCTTTTGGCGTTGATGTTGTTAAGTTGATTAACAGATACCGTTATTGATCTGCCGACCGAGAAAAAAAAATGGATCGATCACAAAACGCTTTAACAATTAGAAAGTATCGAACGTATGCATAAATTTCTCGCGGAATTTATTTTCGCGATTTTCATTTATCCGCCAAAATAAGCGAAAATAAACACCCCGCAAAAATAACCCGCTATACGGTATCACCTTACCCGGACACATTATTCTGACCCCCGAGTCGACCAGTCTTTGCTCTTTCTCCGTAGTACCGCGTGCTTAGCGAATAAGCAGCCAATACCAATTTTAAAGTCTTTGGTTTGACCCGGCCGGGTTAGTACCCACGACTTCCCGTACGTGAGGCGGTATCACCCGCTTAGAAATTAGGTTTATGCAACTGAATGATACAATTTTAAAGTACTTTTTCTTTTAACTTTTTATTTAATCATCTAACAATCAACTCCTGACATTAGAAGCTTTTAGTTTTGGTTTTTCTATATAGTTCTATTATTACGTATTTCATCAGCTTTTCTCTCTTTTTCAGAGTCATACAAATTCCACACACCACATAATTATATATCGTTTAGTGTACGACACCGATAACCTGCGTGTTAAACGTGTTCTTTTAAGCAAAATAAAATCAACGACATTATAAAAAAGCTAATCAAATATTCCAGGTCTATAATTTGCTACGCAAGACGGGTTTTTAGTCTACATCAAACTCGTCATTGGTGCTCGAATCAAAACAGTTTAGAATATATTTCTAATGGACTTTCCAAGTATAAAAGAATTTGTATTTTAAATGAGATCAAAATATTGATTAGATAAATTACACCACACCTTAAAAACATGAAATTAACAAGAATTGGTAGGGGGTAACGATTATTTCCCAATATATACTTGATCAAGTTTAATGAAAAACTGCAAATTTAATTGTTTTGTAATACAATAATTGAAGTAATTGTAGTAATGTGGGAGTCGATTTCTATGGATTTTCTCTCAAAATTATATAATGCTTCTTTTGATAAGCGATACATTTTACTTACGTGGGTAGTATGTTTATGTTTATGCTTTAAAAGACAAAATCATTACAACAAAAATATTACAAATTGCAGCTGGCTGATAAAGTTCGTGTTTCCGAACACTTTAGATTACCACAGGTATATATATAATCATAGATAGACGTATATTTAGTGGTGTGTTTAGTGCGCAATTTTGGATTACTAATAACTTTGATTAGAAACACTCGGTGTGCACTTTTGGATTAAATTTCAGTGGAAACGTGTAGACCAAATGTTTGGTCAGCCACTGTTGGAAGGATATAAAGGACATTAAAGCAAAAAATCTATACACAACATTACCGGCTGAAATCACAGTTATTGTGTAAACCAGACTTCCGTCTTATATACATAAAACTCATCACCGATGCCCGAATCAAAGCAGTTGTTGGAAGAGAAAATGAATCACAAAATTACAAAGTTGAAGTTCATTCAAACTAAAAATTAGTGATCCTATTTCTTATAGTACCTGCAAAACAGACCAAACAACAAAAACTTAACATTGTCCAATTAACCATGAAAATGAGGTCAAGTTCAAATGAACCCTGTCAGACAGATATGTATTTCTTACATTCAGTCCATACACCAAATCTAGTTGACCTAGTGCTTAA